GAAAGAAAGAAAGAAAGAAAGAAAGAAAGAAAGAAAGAAAGAAAGAAAGAAAGAAAGAAAGAAAGAGAAAGAAAGAAATAGGGAGGGGGGAGGAAGACAGACAAAAACAAAATTGTTTAATCTAAATATTTTAAGGATATATTTGGAGTTCAAGTTTTTTGAAAAGACTTTTCACTGAAGCCTATTATATTTAATTGGTTGAGACTTTGGCCAAACCATCTATGGGTACTGCTGATTTTCATAATGTACGATTCTGGAACAGCACAACACTGTTTTACATGTCTAATTGCAGAGACCTCCAACCAAAATCCCCATGGATAAATACTAACCACCAGTCTGTGATAAAAATCTCTTCTTCCGCCTCCTCCATAGCATTTGCCACATCTTCAAAATACCCTTTGGCATTAACGTACCTGGAAGACAAGTTTTTTGTTTCAATTTTTTTTTTTTTATGAAAAGAAAGAAAGGAAACATATCTTATGGCAAAAAGATAAAAGCACTGCCTGAGTCTCTACAAAGCCACCAGTTTACTTTGTATAACTGAAGACCAAGGATTGAAAATCCCATCTTCCGTCTGCTATGCAGGAAGTATAGTAAGGAGACAGAAGTAAGCGACCGGATTCGCTGAGAGAACAACAAACTGGTCTCATCATCCCATGAGTCAGATGAATTCTCTCATCCTGCTGAATTCACACCGTTGTTTGTCTGAGACTGAAAACAGACCAGTTTCCAATCCGTGGGTAGGAAAACATGCAAAGCATTTTATTTAAAAGAAATACCTAGCAAGTAAATTCTCATTCTTAAATTATAGCTAATAACTTAAATAAACATTCCGTTTGCATCCTTAAAAAATGGAAAAGTTAGCTTTTAAAATCAAACTTCAAGATCTAAAGCTAGCTATTGAATCCTCACTGTGAAAATCTTAAATACAAAAATTGGAAAACTAATCTATGCTCAGGTAGTCCTATAAAGAAAGGCTCTTGTCGAGTATAATGCAGAATGTTTCCACAGCTTTGAAAATTGATTCCAGATGAACTTAGGCCTGCTATAATATTAGATACTATGACTATAAAAAATAGTCTTAGAGTAAAACGATCTTACCATTTAGCTAAAGTATTCTCTTGGATAGCAGCATATGACCCAAATCGATGGTCTTTGAGAAAGTTGGTGCCGTGTTTCTGGATGAATTCTTCTATAGCCCCTCCCCACCACCGAGCATGCCTATAGCTGTTGCATTTTAAAATAAGTGTCCTTCAAAGAAAAGCAAATGTGGAAAAGAATGATCACTCTGTGTTCAGTCTCTTTAAAAATATTTAACAATTAAACATGCGTCATTTTGTTTTGGTATTGCAGCAAACATAGGTTGAAAATTTTAAGCAAGGAGCATCTTATTTATATCAAAAAAGCAGACTTCTGAACATTTTAGGCAGGATTTAAAACTATATTCAATATAGCAAAAATAAATTTTCAGGTTATTTACTCATTCATTCATGCTAACATGCATAAAGTTACTTACTATGATTAGAACTGTACTAGGCTGTGAGGGAGATAATCTTAAACCTCCTACTGTCAGAGAAGATCAGGAAGTTCAGCATCTTTTTATACAAATACATACACACACACACAACACATGCCAATGTGTATTAGGGTGTGTGTGTGTGTGTGTGTGTGTGTGTAAGTATATATATATTTATAATATATACATTAGTCAATGTGTGAAAAGAAAAAAATGTGTATTTGTATACATGAGGCTGAACTTTGTAGAACCAATGTATATACAGAGAAAAAACATACACATATTACATAACTACCATCTTCCAGAAAGAAACATTTATTAACACACACACACACTCGCTAATAAAATCTATAGTAAATGTACACTTGAGTATCCTTTCAAGATTTCTTTCTTAAAATCTGTGCATAAACAGAATTTTTGTAAATCAAATCACTGTTTATGTGTTCCTGTTAATTAAAGGATATCAATTTATAAAGCAAAATTTTATTTTTTAAAAATATGAAACTATCATTCCTTAATTTATCTGTTTGGTAAATTGGTATTACTGAGTAATTTTGTAATAGGCATACATTTTATTAAAACGAGCATAAATCAACACATGAGATTATTTATTCTGACTGTTGCACATTGGATATTTTATACTTAAAAATACATAGAAAGAAAAGTAGTTTCATTATTTTTGATTAAGAGGAGTTCTAAATAACAATTTTCTAACATTTAAATTATTTGACTTCCTTCTTCACTTGAGGTTGGGAGAAAAACTTTGTTTTTGAGAGAAATCTTTTAAAAATACTTGAAATTTCTACCTTGAAAGATTATCAATTCGGAGCCCATATTTTGTCTCTGTCTCCTTCTTCCCCACCTTAATTTTGAATTCTTTATCTACTAGCAGGACAAAGGCAATGGCACCACTGTCTGGTTTCATATATAGTAAAAATGAATCTTTCACTATCAACCACCTGTAAGAAGGTAATAAATATTTTTAGAGTTGCATTGGATTATTGAAACAAAAAGAACAAGTTATGACAAGTTAAGTAAACACTCTAGCAGGCTGCAGATATTTTATTTTTTTACACAGGGGATTTGTTTTTTAAAAATCACTATACAACAACAGCAATAACAAAAAACTAATAAGAAGTCTATTATGTTTTTCTAAGAAGAACTGGCACCAAGCAATTCAAAGTATTTCATTAGTTTTTTACACACTAATGGCAAAGCCTGAAAGAATGTCCCTGATATGGGCACGTAGCGCTTGCAGGATGTACAGCAGGAGCCTCAGCCGTTGGAAAAATGGAAATCCATTGGAAAAATGTTTGCTAAAATAAACTGTCATAAAAGAGGCAAATAAGTTTCTCGGGAAGTAAAAATCCTCCTTTAAAACAACCCAGTAGGGCGCCTGGGTGGCTCAGTCAGTAAGCGTCTGCCTTTGGCTCAGGTCATGATCTGGGGGTCCTGGGATCGAGCCCCGCATCGGGCTCCCTGCTTCTCCCTCTCCCACTCCCCCTGCTTGTGCTCCATCTCTCTGTCAAATAAATAAATAAAATCTTAAAAAAAAAAAAAAACAGTAAGCATCTAATACTCCACATATTCTGTTTTTCAATTTACTTTTCAAATTACTTGTGGTTTTAAGGATTATTAATAAATGATGCTCAATAGGACATGATCTCTCAGAAGCTTGTAAGTATTCAACAGGTAGGAACAGCACAGAGGGGGCACCTGGGTGGCTCAGTTGGTTAAGCGACTGCCTTCAGCTCAGGTCATGATCCTGGGGTCCTGGGATCAAGTCCACATCGAGCTCCCCCTGCTCTGTGGGGAGCCTGCTTCTCCCTCTGCCTCTGCCTGCCACTCCCCCTGCTTATGCTCTCTCTCTCTCTCTCTCTCTCTCTCTCTCTGTGTCAAATAAATAAATAAAATCTTTTTTTTTTTTTAAAGAAACAGCACAGAGGTAAATGAGACATGTTCTCCAAGTTGCTTTTTAGACTAGTGGGGCACAAAGAAGATACTAGAAACTGTAAAGGTAATGGGTATAAGGAGGGGGGAGTCCTTAGTTCTGATTAAGAGAAAGAGGTAGAGGCACTGTCCCAAAGAGGTGGTATCTGAGCAAGGCCAGAAAGGATCCTATCAATCAACTAAAACCCAAAGCAGGGTGGCCAAGGCGTACACAAGGAGGGAAGAGTCGGCAAAGGCACAGAGGTGTGGAAATGCTGCATGTGTTGGGAGAAAGTCTGGTGAGGCCAGAGTCTCAGGGAATATAGTTAGGAAAAATGGGCAAATGAGTATCGCGTGGGGAAAATGGGCAAAGGCCACACTGAGGAGGATCTAAAGGCTATGCTCAGGAGGCTGATTTCATAGCATGGGACCAGGGTTTCCTAAACTTGCTTTGCCATCAGAAGCTCTTGAGATGCTTGTTAACAAAATAATAGTTTCCCAGGCCCCACCACGGATCCATTAAAAAGGCCTGACAATCTGTGTTTTTAACAAAAACACCAGGATGCTTATTAAATAAGAGAATCCTCATGCCTCGGCAAGGAAGGGGATGAGAATATCATTGTAATTGTGTTCTAGAAAGAAAGGTATGAAGGATAAAGAGGGATGTGATGTGGCAGGTTAGCAAGCTATTACAATAATACAGAACAACTCTTCTTATACTTCACTGTGAATATGCCTCACATGGGTACCCTGTTGAAATGCAGATTCAGTGCGGTATCAAAAGGACAAGAAATAACAAGTGTTGGTGAGGATGTGGAGGAAAGGGAACCCTGGTGCCCTTTGATGGGAATGTAAATTGGTACAGCCACTATGGACAACAGTATGGAGGTTCCTCCAAAAAATAAAAATAGAAATACCAAATGATCCAGCATTTCCCCTTTTGGAATATTTACCTGAAGAAAACAAAAACATTAACTCAAAAAGATGTATGCACCCCTACATTTACTGCAACATTATTTACAATAGCTGAGATATGGAAGTAACTTACTGATTAATGGATAAAGAAAATGTGGTGGTATATTAGCCATTAAAAAAAGATCTTGCCATTTGCAAGAACACGGATGGACCTAGAGAGGGTATGATGCTAAGCGACAGACGTCAAACAGGAAAAGACAAATGCCATATGATTTCACTTATATGTGGAATCTAAAAACAAAAACCAACCAACCAAACAAAGCAAAACAGAACTAGACTCATAAATACAGGCAACAAATTATTGGTTACCAGAGCAGGGATGGGTGGAAGGACGGGCAAACAAGATGAAAGAGATTAAGAGGTACAAATTTCCAGTTGTAAAATAGTAAGTCAGACGGATGCAAAGTCCAGCACACGGAATATAGTCAATGATATTTTAATAACTTAGCATGGTGACAGATGGTAACTATATGTATCATCGTGAGCATTCGATGATGTATATGAATGTTGAATTACAATGGTGTACATCTGAAACTAATATATGCCAACTATGCTTCAATGAAAAATAACAGTAATAAAATAAAATAAAAATAAAATGCAGATTCTGATTCAGTAGGTCTGTGGCAGGGCCTGAGATTTTGCATTGCTAACAAGTTCATGGGTGATGCCCATGCTCGGATGACATTTGAGTAAGGATGTAGAGGACAGGCAGAACAATGACAGTGAGAAGAGCAAGACCATATGGGATTGTTTTAAAATGAATGCAAATGGCAACTGTGTCATGCTGTCTATAACACCATATAATCACATTTACTTACGGTTGTGTAGTAATCAAATAAGTCAGTCCATAACAATAAAATAACAGTGGGCATACTGTATCAAATATCAGACAAAGTAAAGCACATTATAGAACAGGAAAGGCCAGAACACCTGAACATAAGTAATATTGTAAATGTGACATGGGAAGTCAGCATCTAAAAAAAAAATCTATAATAAATTGTTACTGAAATTGCTAACCACATTACGATTTAGTGGCTTTAGAGTTCAGGATTTAACACACACAAATCTATGTTGGTTTCCACCTAGTTTCATTTTACTCATTTGTTTCTTAACATACGGGCTGGCTTCTTCCGAACAAAAGGGGATGGGATGGATTTAGGATAACTAACAGTGAAGGACCTACATGTGACATGGTTAACAAAAGGAAAAACATTAAGGTCACAGAAAGCAAATACCGAACCACAACATTAACATAATTATGGCCTGCCATTGCGCGTCTGAGATTCCTGGTTTTTCTTACCTGGTGAATAAATTACAGAAATAAAAAGGTATTCCCCCCAAAAAATTAAACTCCAAAGGAAGTTTCTCATTGGGGACCTAACAGCAGGCAACTGAGTAGTATAATGGATAACACTGTCAATAATTGTCAGCAAATGCAGGAATTCTGCATTTTGTAAGAATTCTCCTAACACTGCTCAGTGTAAATGCCCAAGCCATGATATAAACGAGGACTCAGCGGTTCAGAGGGCCTGAGTTATGAGTGCAGACAAGAAGCTGTCTATCGATAAACCTCAGGTCAGGATAAAAGAGCGTGGGATGGATCACATGTCTGCTCAAGTTCCTTCTTTAGCCGCAGTCCCTTCCCCCGGCTGCACCTGCGGGACAAGTCAGCAGGCACGCAGCATGGCACAGGCCCAGAGCGCTGCCATGCTATCCTGCTGGCTGGGAAGGAGCCAGAGGCTTTGAAAACCACAGCTGTCGGGCTTGCCAATCTGAGAAGAATGTCAAACATAGCAGACTCGTGAACGTGTGCCTCGAAGTCAAGCACACCCCAATGGCAGCAGAGCCAGCTCTCACCAGAGTGCCACACCGGGGATCCCGGTGCGGGATGACGGTGGGGCAACCCCTATCCAGGTGTACCAGCTCCCAGGACTGGCATTACAGAACAAGTCTCAGAAATGTTTCTGAGAGCAGAGGCTGGTGGCACAACCACCAGGACAAAGACTGCAAAACATGGCCTTAGGGACAGGCCACAAGGTACCATTGTGCAGATAGGCCCTACCCCAGGACATCTGGTGCAGGGGGCTGTGACGTTGGCTGTGTCATCCTGCAGAAATGGGTACATTTCTCTAATTGGCACAGAGGCTCTGTATAGGCTATCAACAGCCTTGTTCAGCAATGGCAAGAGGATGGCTGGGTGTACTCTGGGGTGAGCACTGCTCAGCACTGGGGGTGCCATTCATGTGGTCTCCCCATATGCATTCCTCCCTTGCCCCTCCAAGATGGGGCAGCCTGGAAATACAGAAGAGTTTAGTAGTAACAGCTGGATTTTTTTTTTTTAAAGGAGAGTCCATGCCCAGTGTGTTGTCCAACATGGGGCTTGAACTCACGACCCTGAGATCAAGACCTGAGCTGAGATCAAGACCTGAGCTGAGATCAACGGTCAGACGCTTAACCGACGGAGACACCCAAGCTGGATGGTAGCTGGATTTTGAAAGCTGAATGCCAAAGATAATAATTTTTGTTTTGGTCATGAATTCTTTTTAATAGTCATTAGATACCAGGGTAAATTGACTCCTGGCCTTTATATAAAGCTCTTCTTAATTATGCCATTCATTAAAACTCTTCTGATTTTTTTTCCTTTCTCTCTTTTGTCAGCATTTTTTTTTTTCTTTAAGGAGAGGATATGCATCAAGAAAGGAATTGGTCAACCCGTCTTCTGGAAGTCAGTACTAGCTGCACAGGGAGTAAGCGCCTAACGACCAGTCATCCTCCCTGGGCTCCGATTCCAGCTCAGCCACCCACCCGACTGTGTGAACTTGGGTAACTGAGCCTGAGCATTCCATCCATAACATGAGGGCAACAGCGATGCCCAGCTCACCCGTGTTTGTGCGAAATAACGGAGATGATTCACATACATTGCTCAGCACTACGCCTCACACCAATAACTAGGCAGTTTTACAAACACTCTTGTTCTCAAGTAGGTGAGATCATAGTCGGTTCGAATGAGATGCCTCCTGCCCGGGGCCACTCCTTGCCATGGCACTAAAATGCAGACACACCACCGGAGCTGGTCTTCTCAGCCTCACGTCCTCCTGTTCTCTCCCACCCCCAAGGTCTGGCTGTTCCTCAGATTTGCCCAGGTTGTTCTCTGGGCTCCCACCTGTGCTATTCCGCTCCCTAGAAATGACTTCTTCCAGATCCTCCCAGGGACGGTCCTTTCCTGTTTATTATCTCTCTGCTAAGACACTCCTCCCCAGGGAGGCCTTCCCAGGCTACTCAATCTTAAAAAGCCAGCCCCACCCCCACTCCACCGTTGCAGCATGTATCGCTTCCTCATGACACTTCGCTGGAACTATCTGTCTGCTTGTTCACTGTCTGTAGAATTCTTGGTACAGCTCAAAGTTCAGCAAAATATATGCTACATTTATTTCTTAAAATTTATGTATCTCCTTCCCCTCAGACCTTATTTGAGATTAGAAACTTATCTAGTCCACCACCCGATGCAGAGAAGTTGCTCAACAGATAGGCAGTTTAGGCAGATGTTTTAAATTGTGGGAAAAAAATATTTGCCATGTTTGTCTTTTTTTTTTTCCTTTTACTTGTCCCTGAGACAAGGTCATCATGACACTTGATTGAAAGTTTAATTGCCCCATTTGCTTTATCTTGATTTGTCAATGTAGCATAAATGAGAAAGTGATCAGAATGCCTTATATGGGTACAAAAATAAAAAAGAGAGCATTATAAATGTGTCATCCTTAAAAGTGACTCCTATTTAGATACTAATAGCTTCTACCATGAGAAAATTTCTAAACTAATATTTTCAGCTGTATCTTCTCATTTTATTTGGTACTGACACTTTATCACCCACAAATGTAACTCAGGAAATACCTACTAACGGGGAACCAAAGCTTCAATCTTCGTGGAAAGATCTACACAATTTAAAACGATGACACATTTCATTCCAGGGAGGATCATATCTCTTTAGATTGTCCTGGTTGAAGCCTGATTTAATCCCAAGTTTAAGATGCGAGGGAGCTAGGTTATTTTATATAACCAAGTCTGGCCCCCATCTTTTCTGGCTGCCCCTTCTCATGGAGGTTTTAACTCCAACAGCAGTTTCCTGACACCAGGAGCTAAAGTCACCCACCGCCCCCTGCCCCGGCCCCGGTTCAAGTCCCTCACCATCCCACTGCCTTCCGGTCACAGCTGCACGGACACCATTCACACTGCTTGTCAGCTTCGTCACTGTCTTCCTTTCTCCTCTAGTAAAGCCTGAGGGCAGAGACTTTGTCTGGTTTTTACAGGAGCTAGCACACAATCTGGCAAACATTAGGCACTCAATAAATGACTGCATGGACCAGACCAAGGCTTCCATTTCTTGAGTCGATGGCTCAGGTAGGTTGGCCCACAAGTCTACTCTGAGACAAGGAGGTAAGTAAAAGTCATTCATAAAGGGGCATATTAGGGAGTTATTAGGAGCCCTGGCAGGGAAGGAGGAGGAGGAGGAAAGGAGCCAGTGAGGATGTGTTGTGTTTACATGTCCTTTATTGTGGGCAGTTGGGACTCTGGAGACAGTGCAGAGCTTCTGGCAGAATCACCCCACCAGAGGGCTGCCAGGGCAGGATGCCTGCCAGCTCTTGGCTAAGGGCTGCTCCTGGGGGCTGTGAACGCTTCCAGTCCGCTCTGCACGCATGCAAGCGGACCCTAATTGCCCAGAGTGTCTACACTCAAAGGCTCGCAAGTGTTTGCCTTTTGAAACCTCCTGACTGGCTCCCAGCAGCTAGCTACCTTAGCTAAAGCCGATGTGGGGCGGGGCGGGGTGGGGGGAGGTGCTCAGGAGGAATCTGCACCAGGGCCCTACTGTGTGCTTATGTAAGTTACAGAAGTTTATTTGAAAACATATTTTCTAGTATACTACTTCCTTTTTTATTTTAGTAAAACTGTTTTACTGGAACACAGAAATTTTCAATTTCCTCTAATCTCTTCATCTTTTCCCTGTAATTTCTTCCATCCTTTCAAAACCTTTGAGATAATAAGAGCCTGACTTAATGGTGTTTTTAGCTGGTAGTGTACCTTAAATATGTTTAAAGGTAAATCTTAGTTCAGAGCTTATATATTTTTAATATACACTTAGCTCAATCTCATATGTACACATGAGCTCATATAACTTTTTCAAGGTTGGGGAAATATATACTTAGTATTTTTTCCAAAATCCCAGTGAAGGATTATTAACAAACAACTATTGTCTCTTATATTCAAAACGCTGTGATAAGTGCTTTGAGGACACAAATAAGAATCAGATGAGAATACTGATCCACAGGAGTCTTTGGTTGCGTAGGACACAGGATATGAATTAAAGTTCTCTGTCTATATCACCAGCACAATATACATCCTCACAAATGTAAGTTTAAAATTATCATCCCTGAAGTCTGGCCAATTTTTCTTTTTTTTTTTAGTTTATTTTTTAAGTATACAGTTCAGTGGTTGTTTAGTATATTTGTAAAGTTGTGTACCATCACCACTAATATCTAATTCAGAATATTGTCACCACCCAAAAGAAACCCCATATCCATTAGCAGTCACTTCCCATTCTCCTTTCCTCCCAGCCCCCGGAGATCACTCATCTACTCTGTCTCTATAGATTTATCTATTCTGGACATTTCATATGAATGGAATCCTATAATACTGGCTTTTTTCACTTAGCATGATGTTTTTGAGATTCATTCAGGATATAGCATGAATTAGCACTTCATTCTTTTTTTTCATTAAAAATTTCTAAACATTTTATTCACATGCTGTAAAACTCATTCTTTAAAGGTATATAGTTCAGTGATTTGTAATATATTCAGAAAGTTATACAACCATATATCTTCATCAAACCAGAAAGAAACCCCATATCCATTAATCTTCATTCTTTTTTATGGCCAAATAATATTCCACTGTAGAGATATACCACATTTTGTTTAATCATTCATCAGGTGATGGACATCTGGGTGGCTCACACCTTTTGGCTATTCTGAATAATGCTGCTATGAAGATTCTTCTACAAGTTTTGATACAGACACATTTTTTCAATTCTTTTGGGTAAATACCTAGAGTTACCATATGCCCGGTAATCCCACTTCCTATGTTTTGAGGAACTGCTGCACTGTTTTCTAGAGTGGCTGTAATATTTTCCATTTCTACCAGCAATGTAGGAGTGTTCCAATTTCTCTACATCCTTGTCAACAACACTTGCTATTGTGTATCTTTTTCATGATGGCCATCCTAGTAGGTGTGAAGTTGGACCCCACTATGGTTTTGAGTTGTATTCCCCTTATGACTAGTGATGTTGAGATATCTACTTGTACTTATTGGCCATTTGTATATGTTCTTTGGCTGACCAAAGTTTGAGTTCTATTGCCCACTGGGTTTTTATGTATATAATAAAATTTGCACACTCTGCCTACAAGTCCAGGTTTGAGTTAGAATGTTGACATGGATGCTGAAACCTGGAACTTAAAATAGTTTCAAGTTTGCTCTGCCATGACTTTCAAAGGATATATAACCGATTCATAATTGAAAACTAGTATGTGAAAATTCCCCAAATATCCAGTTTATTAAAACAAACACACAAAGCTCCTAAGACCTACCTTTTTGACCAGCGGTAGCAGGCTCTTCCCTGACCACAGCAATTCAAACCTGGTATTCTGTGTCCACCAGATCTTTTCATTATCATACCTTCTCTGAAAGAGAAATCAAGTTAACCCAGCATCTTCAAATTTCCAACTCGCACTTTGCTGATATAGCCTCACGACTTCGGACTAAATAAACTGTTTCATTCGCACATCACTTTCCTCTCCTTCCTTCTTCACCCTCAGATAGCTCAATGTGACCTTCACTAGGCTGGATACTCTAGCAGCTGAACTCTAAAAGCACCTGGTCGGATTGGAGGCAGCAAAATTCTCTTGCACACACTGCAGGACTTTAAGCAGTCTGGCTTCTGGCTCCATATGCTGACTGTGCCCTCCAGTCATTGTGACAAGCTGAAAAAGACCCCAAAATTGCCAAAGGCCTGCACAGGGACGTTTCAGCTGCTGTTGAGACCACTGGTTCCCAAATATTTGAAAGTCGCTAAGAGAACCGCTCTTAACAGTTCTCATCACCAGAAAACCTGAGCCCACAGGTTCCTAAATACTCCTCATCCTTTTACCTACACTTCTAGGACCATGCCATACCAAAGGAACAGACCACAGCTATTAGAGCTTTGGAAAGAGAAATGTCTTGATTTTGAAAGATAGGACAAGAAATAACAATACTAATGGCTTAATAAAAGAAAAAAATTAAAACCCCTACTAATGATGCTCTTAGCTCTAAAGAAGCTAAGCTCTTGATAACATTATGCTCTCACATTAGGAAGGAAAATAATCATTAAGTAAATTTCAACTTGTAACCTAACATAAATTTTACACAGTGTTATTTTTAATCGTGAAAATGAGTGTTAAACAGCTAACTTTTATAAGTTATTTAAAGAAGGGATCTGGTATATTTGATTTTTTAAACTGAGATATAATTGACACACAACATATACTAGTTCCAGGTGTATAACACATTAATTTGATATCTGTATATATTGCAAAATGATCACCCCAATAAGTCTAGTGAACAACCATCACCATACATAGTTATGAATTTTTTCTGGTGATGAGAACTGTTAAGAGCGGTTCTCTTAGTGACTTTCAAATATACAACACAGTATATTTATTTCTAATGTTTTCTCCCACGTACCATATTTGCTACCTGTCTTAAACATTCCTAATGTTGGGCCAGAGGAAATCTGTGCTGTAAGTACATAAAGAAAGAGGGTGAGGCAGTTGCTACCCTTGTTCAATAGAGCAAGGTAGCACCGTGTGTAAACAGATTCCCCAAGTGGCTCTGACTCTGTCGGGAATAAAAGGAACAGGTAGTAAAGTCAGGTAAGCTCTGTCACCACGGCATGCTGGTAAATCAAACGGTGATGCTTATCAACTTTCACACTTCTCTTTAACATGCAACACTGGAACTTACATGCCCTTTGGTCCCAAATCATGGATGAAAGACAGCTGGCTTATGCCAAGGAACTCTGTCTGAAAAGAGGCCAAAAATCCATACTTTAGAAACACAGAAAGAAAAAAGATAAATTTAGACATTTGAAAGAAAAAGAAAAAAACAGGCATTAGATACCGCTACGTGTCAACACAATCTGGGGGACTACACAGATCAAAACAATGGCATTGCCCTGAAAGAAGAGATTAGAAGTGTATACATAATTAAGACACAACCAAGAAAGTGATTTGCACTCTCAAATATAGAGAATGAATGCTCAAGAAAGTCACAAAGAGTGGTTTTACTACCAAAATTCTTCTGTGTTTTTGTTGTTGGGGAAGGAGGATTGTGTGGCATAGTGTACGCACAAATAGTGTTGTGTGAAGGCAGTGATTTTGGTGCCCGGTTCTAGAAGGTGGACTAGACTTGTCATGTGGAAATGGAAGATGAAGGGGGAGAGAGGACAGGGAAGGTGTAAAAAGGGCACTGGATGGACAGTTGGGCTACAATGAGTAAGATAAGAGATTAATGTAAAATTAAATGGTAGAGTGGGTTGAAGGGAGTTTGGGGAGATCTCTGAATATCAGGAATACCAGAATATTTTCATACAAATGAAATAAAATCAGGGGCACCTGGGTAGCTCAGTTGGTTGACTGTCCGACTCTTTGATTTTGCCTCAGGTTATGATCTCAGGGTTGTGAGATCAAGCCCCGAATCAGGCTCATGCTCAGTGGGGAGTCTGCTCGAGACTCTCTCTCTCCTTCTCCCTCTGACTCTCCCTCTGACCCTCCCTCCGACCCCACACTCTAAAAAAAAGAAATAAAATCATTTTACATAATAATATAAAAATAATTCTATTTTTAGTGAGTAGAAAAGGAAGAGAATTTCAGGCCCACCCATACCATACAAATTAAGGGAAGATAAAAACTACAAGTATTATGATGACATCAACAGCTAACATTTACTGAGTGTTTAATATCTATCTGTTGGCCCTGTACTAATAAGCATTTTTCACACATTAACTCAAATCTCTCTAAAATAGGTGCTATTTTTCTCATTGTACAGAGGAGGAAACGAGGCTTAGAGCAGAAATAAGGAAACTTTCTCTGCAAAGAGTCAGACATAAAAATTTTAGGCTTTGGGGGCGCCTGGGTGGCTCAGTCGTTAAGTGTCTGGCTTTGGCTCAGGTCATGATCTCAGGGTCCTGGGATCGAGCCCCACATCGGGCTCCCTGCTCAGTGGGAAGCCTGCTTCTCCCTCACCCACTCCCCCGCTTGTGTTCCTGCTCTTGCTATTTTTCTCTCTCTGTCAAATAAATAAATAAAATCTTTAAAAAAAAATTTTAGGCTTTGTGAATTGCATACTTTTACTATTATAGCATAAAAGCAGCTTTGGACAATACATAAATGAACAAGCATGGCTGTATTCCATTAAAACTTAATTTATGCATACTAAAATACAAATTCAATATAATTTTTATGTCATGAAATATTATTATTTTTTAAGACTTTTTCAAACATTTAAGAATGTAAAAGCTATTCTTAGCTCATGGACCATAGAAAAATAGGCAGTGGGCTCGATTGGTCCATGGGCCATAGTTTACCAACCCCTGGTGTAGAGAAGTTAAATAAATTGTCCAAGATAGAGGCACCTGGGTGCCACAGTCAGTTAAGCATCTAACTCTTGGTTTCAGCTCAGGTCGTGATCTCAGGGTCGTGAGATCCAGCCCCAAGTCGGGCTCCACACTCAGCACAGAGTTTGCTTAAGACTCTCTCTCCCTCTCCCTCTGCCCCCTCCACCCCCACGTGCACTTTTTCTCTAAAATAAATAAATAAATCTTTTTAAAAAAATTGTCCAAGATAATGTAATTAGCAAGGGATTCAGAATTAGGTCAGACCAGACAGTATCCTCAAAACAAAGCTGCAAAAGCAGTAAATCATTCACCATGAGTGTTAGATGAAAACATGAAAGCACAAAGGGGAAAACCAATGGACATTACATAATTCTCAGCATATGCAGGAGTTTTACCTCATGTGTTACTTGAAACAGCTAGAGTTAGACATTATTCTGCTCCCAAATTACAGAATTTTCTTTAAAAGTAGGCACAGTAAGCCCAGATCTACCAATGGTTGTACACCATGTCGATAACAGCATCAACAGAAAATTCAAAATCAAGAAGATATGCTCCTGGCATCAGGAAGCAGAGGAGAGACCAGACACGGAAAATACTCCACATCAACAAAGTTCTGTGGGCAGAACCACAACAATGACACGTCAAAGTAGTTACAGAGGGAAGGTTCCCAAGCTGATGTGACGCCTAAGAAGAAATGGCATTTGATCTAGGGTTATAAATGGGATTAATAAAATGAAACCTAACAGTTTTCCTTTAAAGTTTTGTGTATGTGATTGGAAATAATCTAGTATTAGCCTTGTGAGCAAAAAATTATAAATCTCTCACTGCTGTCAGTCCTTACCCAATTAAATGTTTCCATTTCTTTCTTAGGGTTATTTGAGGAAGTATTTAAAATTCAGAAGGACTTATTTTTAACGTGTTGAGGAACCTCCATACTGTTTTCCTACGACCCCGTAATTGCACTACTAGGTATTTACTCCAAAGATACAGATGTAGGTAAAAAGAAGGGACACATGCACCCCAATGTTCATAGCAGCAATGTCCACAATAGCCAAACTGTGGAAGGAGCTGAGATGCCCATCAACAGACGAATGGATAAAGAAGATGCGGTCCATATATACAATGGAATATTACTCAGCCATCAGAAAGGATGAACACCCACCATTTGCATCAACATGGATGGAACTGGAGGGGATTATGCTAAGTGAAATAAGTCAAGCAGAGAAAGACAATTATCATATGGTTTCACTCATATGTGGAACATAAGGAACAGAGCAGAGGACCACAGGGGAAGGGAGGGAAAACTGAATGGAAAGAAATCAGAGAAGGAGACAAATCATGAGAGACTCTGGACTCCGGGAAACAAACTGAGGGTTTTAGAAGAGAGGGGGTAGGGGGATGGGGTGACCAGGTGATGGGTATTAAGGAGGGCACATGTTGTGATGAGCACTGGGTGTTATACGCAACTAATGAACCGCTGAACACTACAACAAAAACTTATGATGTACTGTATGCTGACTCACTGAACACAGTAAAAAAAATAAAATTAAAATTAAAAAATTAAAAATTAAATTTAGAAAGACTTGGGGCGCCTGGGTGGTTCAGTCCATTAAGCGTCTGCCTTCAGCTCGGGTCATGAACCAAGGGGGTCCTGGGATCAAGCCCCACATCAGGCTCCCTGCTCAGCAGGGAGTCTGCTTCTCCCTCTCCCTCTGCCCCTCCCCTGTTCGTGTTTTTTGTCTCTCTCTTCCTCTCTCTCTCTCACTCTCTCGCTTACTCGCTCTCAAATAAAGAAAATCTTTAGAAAAAATTTCAGAAAGACTTAAAAACCCCAAATCAAACATATCCTCACATTAAATTTTTATAAAGATTTTATAAAGTCTTTACATTTCATTTCTTGTATAAGTACCATATTTTTTAAATCTGATTTGTGGAAATGCTTCTAATTGGAAAATACAGTAACGCCTAAGTTATTATAAGTGACACTGCAGACTCTGAGAACAGAATCCAAAATGTTTTAAAACCCTAAGCCATAACTTCTCATTTTATCTCTAGGGAGCAGAGAGAAAACATCAATCCTAGTTTACCCTGGAAGAAACTACCACAAAGGTGTAACTAACTAATCTATATGCAAAGCTACCGAACAGTTAAAAGGAGGAACAGGAAATGAAAAGCAAAAATCAAGGAAACCATTTATCTAATACCTGGATAGTTTCTTATTCACATGGCTCTTATTGAGTTGACAGCAGAAGTATTCTTTGAAATAATTCAGAAACCATAACTTCAGAATATCATAGTAAAATTGCTAAGGGTAATTTAAGGGTAAAAAAATTTCATCTAAACAAAAAATACATTAGTAATGCAGAAAATCTAAAGTTGTGCACCAGTATAAAATTTAAAATTATCCTAATCACTTTAGTTTGACTAGGGAGAGATTTCAAGAAACAACCTGCCCTGTTATAGGACCAAAAAAAAAAAAAATCTGGCAATATATGCTCTAATACAGATTTATCAAATTAAAAGTAAATGTGGCAAGGTCAATTTAGAAGCAAACCCAAATAACACAATGTGAAATTGAACAAAGATTGTGTTGTCCAGACTTCTCAGTGCATCCTTAGTGATGATAACAATTCTATTCTCTATTTGCCCAGGTGAGTCTCAAGAACATGAAATTAATGATCAATTTAGCTGGACAAATACAAATACACAGGGTTTATTGATCTCTTGAATAATGTATTAATCAATATATTTTTTTTCCAAAGGAACTTGTGCAAAGTACAAATAAATGTTAGGCAAAGAAGGAAGTAAAGTTCCAATGACAAGGGACAAGCAATTAGCCCAAGAGGTAACAACAAACCCTGGAAATTACCTGGCAATCATGCATACGCTGTTCCTCTACCTCATCTCTGTACTGGAAGGGAAGGGGGGTGTTCAGAGGCTCCCTTTATGCCTGAGGTAGCAAAATTCCCAAGCAAGTGCCCAAGGGGGAAATTCTCAGAAGCAAGGGAGACAAGGGCATTGGGTTGGGCAGTGCCCTTTGGGGGGGTGGGGTGGAGGTAGGTAGGAGGTTGGCTCACCTATTCCAGGAAAGCTTGCCTTCCAGGTCAGACAGTGAACACAGCCCCAGAGAAAAGAGAAGACATCTCATCAATGTAGGAAACGGAGAGACTGGACTCTCCCAACTCTTAAGACTCAATCATGAGAATGTCACGACTTCCCTTACTTTGCAGATGCAGCTTTTTAACAGTACAGCTCTTCTTTGTTGGCATGGAAACACTGTGTGCATCCTCATTCATCTTTACCTACTCTTCCCCTCAAACTAAATTCACTCACCTTATAAAACAAGGGATGGGTGAACTCATTATTAGTCTGTGGGATGCTTATCTTCTGATTTCCTTACTTCCCAGAGGGTGATTAGGTTGAAATTACCCTCTTGGAGGTAAGGAATCTGAGTTACAACAGTCAAATGATTTTACTGGAAGTTAGCAACACTCTTATCAACCTAGGATGCTTCTCCTGGAAATGATGCATTTTGTTCCATTTCTAGATTTTAATCTTCAGCTGGAAAAAAAAGTGCAATGACTGTTCCTAATGACTCTTCCTTTAAATTCCCTGCAAGCTAAGCATTTTCCAGTTGCTAATTAAAATGCTCAGTGAGTGGGTTCAGTACTAGAGCTAGCACTAATACAATTTAGAATATAAAAGGAATTCTGTTTGAGATTTTGTATGTTACAATTCAGTAAACATATCCCTTTTTTTAAAAAACATATTTATGCCTTGAGGAAAGTGCAAAGCCATTTATCCCTATTTTACAAATGAGTAAAGAAAATAGAATGAATTACCAATAATCCCTGAGGGAATTATCTGATGTTAAATCCACTAAAACACGAAGACGTGTTTTTCAGAACCTCAAGGAGGAGAAAAGGAATTAAAAAGTCATTCTCTTGGAGAAAAAAATTCCTGATCTAAATACCAACCTAACCAATGACTATAGGAAAATAAGTAAAGCTGTTCATGTCTGGTTTCATTGAAATTCTATGGAAATTAGAGACATGATCCTATCTGATCTCTTGACCTATGATCCATGATCTCTGCTGTAAAGACCCAAATTAACTTCTAACAGGCTTGTTTTATACTTATAAAAATATAAATTAATTATATGTGATTGTATAAAAATAACTTTTACTATGATTTCACAGACTGGAGTTTCAATATTTCTCACAATTATCAAAGGAGACACAAAGATGCCAATCTAATTTCACAAATATGAGGCAAAAGCCTGTAAATCTAGTCTCTAGACCAGATTACATTACGTGAAAGTTCAATAATGTTAGAAAATTAAGATAGATCAAATTGTATCTTATGTCTGTATCATTCTGGAGAATTCCATTCTTGGGGTAAATAAGTTGCCATCAAAAATGTGGAGGAACATATATTTGGGTCAGCAGTAACCACGTTTTCCCTTTCAGAGGAAATGTTTAGAAGACATTCTAGAATTTCTAGATACAATATGGCTCTACTGGAAAGATTTTTATGATTGGAAAATAAATTAAAACAAACATTAAAGAAAATGTACACATTCTTTAATCAACATTAGAACCCAAATGTAGTACTATACGTAGAAAGAGAAGACTAAACTCAGCAATTACTGTTCTAAAGCCAAAAAAAAAATAGCACCGGTAAAGTCACAGGCAGGCAGAAGAGTAAAACAAATGGGGGCTGCTGGGTGGCTCAGTGTGTTGAGAGGCTGCTTTTGGCTCGGGTCATGATCGCAGGGTCCTGGGATTGAGCCCCACGTCGGGCTTCCTGCTCGGCGGGAGTCTGCTTCTCCCTCCTACTCTCCCTCTGTTCTCGCTCTCTCTCTCTCTAATAAATAAATAAAAATCTTATAAAAAAAAAAAAAGAAGAGTAAAACAAATGGTAAATCATTGCATACTGGTACTAGTACACATTTAAATAATTCTCTATTAAAGAAAACAGCACATTTCACTTCAGAGAACACAACAGGAAGCAGCATTTTTAGCCGTAGCAATAGGAGTTATATAATTGGAAATAATAGCAGATCCTTACTCGTTACACTCTTTCAAAGATGCGTGTTCCTGAGGCCTAGAAGGGAAGAAATTCCTCCCATCATCCTTCTCTTGAGATCTCTGGTTGGACCCAAGTTGCTGGTTTCCCTGGGAAAACACCTCCAGGATTATGAAACCACATATGCTCCTTCAAGTCCATCAAACGGAACAGAGCAAACTGCCGCAGAAACTGGACCATGGGCTCAGCCCCGGATCATTTGTGTGTGGGGACCAGGGGACCGGCTGGATGCTTGTCCAGCCTCCAAATAACACCCTGGCAGGTAGCAAGAGTGCAGTGAGTCACCAGAAAACTCCAAAGAGTCAAGGTGCTCTTGCTTCCTCTCCTAAATACACAGAGGGCTTCCTTCATTCTTTTCTAAGATTTTATTTATGTATTTATTTGAGAGAGAGAGAGAGAGAGAGCGCACGTGAGCACATGCATGTGGGGCGGGAAAGGAGCAGAGGGGGAGGGAGAGGGAGGGGGAAAGAATCTCAAGCAGACTCTGCGCTGAGCGCGGAGCCCCATGTGGGGCTCGATCACGGGACCCTGAGATCATGACCTGAGCAGAAACCAAGAGTCAGATGCTTAACTGACTGAGCTCCCCAGGTGCCCCTTCCCTCTTTCTCTTTAAGTATTAAGTAATGCCATTCTCTAAACTAGAGGCCACATCTACTAGGCCATGACTGCCTACTCTTAATTTCTGCACATATACCATATACATACATTCAACCCCACAGCGGTACAGTTTATACATGCACAGATGCAGAAATACAATAACCCAGTACAGTCTCAGTTATCTGGACCTTTGGATAGTTGAAGTTTAACCCTTTAAAAACACCCGTTCAAGGCCTCTAAGGGGACTGACGTTACTGTTTTCTGAGAACTTCTATAAAAGTCCACTCCCTCCTGCTCACCAGCTGTGTACCCCCTAGCTGCTTCTAAGCCCCACCACCTCTTTTCTTTTATTCCCCCGGGAGTTTTTTCGCCCCCTCGCTTTTCCCATGCTTCTCACTTTCACATGAAAAGAGAGGCCTTATTATAAGCATCACAGACCAATCAGATGGCCAACCAAGCAGGACACTCTCTCTATATAAGCTTTGGGTATTCAACTCTGCTCAGCTGTTTTCATGACTACCTGTTCAAGTGTTTTCTCTTCAGGGTTAGAAGTACTTTCAGGCATTATTGTGGAAGCCCGAGGAGAAAAGAACGTTGATTTCTAGATAACCTAGCCTGGAGCAGTGTTCCAAGTTCGTCTAAATCTACTGTTCTGGACACATTAATTTACAGTTGATATTTTTTAAAACAGCATCACCATGAACTACATTACTGCCGTCAAATCAATTTGGCATTCATTTCATTAATTCTAACTTCAGGAATACTGCAGAAGTGGATAAAAGCACTTGTGTTAATAAAATGAGCCGTTTAGCTGACAATTTATGATTTTACAAAGCATTTCAAAATTGAAGTCACTGAACAGCACTTACTGTCGCATGGTAGTTTCTATACATGGGCATTTTTAGTAGCCTTGTCAAATAATCTTCCAGTTGTTTCTGTAACACAAATACATTAGATGAGAGATAACAGTGACAGTGATGTGATCATTATCCCATTTTAATTTCTGCAAACTTATTCAATTATTTATTCATATTATCACTGGACAAAGAATCTTGAATAGCATTAAGGAGTTATTTCCATAGTTCCCCTGAACCATTATTCAGATGGCTTCTCAACTTAACTTCTCCTACGTTTAGGTCTTTTATAAACTGCTGACAAGACCCAAGCTGTATATTCCTTTAATCTTTCATAGTTACTAGCACAGGATTTACCCATTGTAGATGGTCTTAAGGCATTTGTTGACTTTATCAAAAACCTGAATTTCCTTAATTCTAACACTGAATTTACTGGTGGATATATTATAGTTTTTTTAACAGCTGTTCAGGGTAAAAAAAAAAAAAGGGGGGGGAGAGGTTAAAAAAAGAGAGAGAGAGAGACTTTCTAGATAAGTTGTACCCTGATTTCAAGTATGTTCAAATGTGGGAGGGTAATGTCAATCACATCGACTATGATGATGTGTAGAAGTGCTGTTAAAGCCACAGCTTCTCATTTTCAACTGCATTCATAAAAGTGCAGACAGAAACCCCAAGCTGTAGAGTTTTATATATCCAGTTATCTTGGAAAATATTTATTCTAGATCCCTAAAAAGATTTTAAACAAGATGACAACTATACAAAGGAGAAATCAAATATCCCTTTCAGAACATAAAAGTTTCAGATTACAAAACAGAACTGACATTTACTTGTTAATTTTCTAGCGGAAAAACAATCTCCCACCCTGTGTGGCACCATATCACTGAGGTGGAGCACCTGCGCCTGGGGCTTCTGTCCTACCCCTCTCTGACCCTAATGGCTCGGGAATGAGACTTCACATATATTTAGGACAAGCTACTACAAAGCCTGGAACACACAGATGGAAATATATGGTTTTAAAAGGGTAGATCTCAAAACCCTCAATGATGAGCTCAATCTTGATTTACAACAAGCCCAAAGAGGCTTCGGCTGGGAGGACAGCTTCTTCATAAAGCACTCCTCCTCTCATGGGAAATACAACCTCCCCAGGTCAGAATGGCTTGGGGAAGAAGGGCTGCTCGACAAGTTCCACAGAAGCCAGCCTGGGTGAGGGATCGCGGGGTGAGAACAGTTGCACCTAGGCCCCCCCTCAGGAGCCGCCATGTTTCTACAGAACTGCAAAATTATATTCCGAACAGCAGAAGACTGGAAGGACTTACCCTTCTACCAAAGAATTGTTCTTCTCTGATCATGTTTTCAGATGAACGGGGAAAACTTGGCATCTCTCGAGGCTCTTCTTTGACATTCTGTCTTCTAAACGTGTGCCTAAGACACCCACGCAATGGAAACATTTGTTACATTATTCTTTGAATAGTATTACTCTTGTAATATCTTTCATAAAATGGCTTATTTTTAGAAAAGCCTATTTAGTAGAAAATATCCACTGACAATGGACACATTAACCCATAACACTGATAAAATACTCTTTCCACCCAACTTGTATACTGGGATAACTTTATAATTAATTCTGAAACAGTTACCTTCTGGTGGGAATGGGGATTCGGATAAAAGCTTTGTACTTGAGCAGCTCTCTGTGAAATTCTTGAAAGTGCTTGAATTTCCTCTTAACTTGCCACTTAAATTCCCCATGTGTTAATTCAATAGTGTAAAGATTGATACTTGGTACCTACAGTGATCAAGAAAAATGATTGCTATTTTAGAGAAGAAAAATTCTAAAATCTCTCCATGGACAATAGCGAATTAATAAGTAACTTAAATCCAGCCTACATATTTTGGGTAAGTACTTAGGTAAAATGTTTTCTAAAACTACTAATTACAGAAATAGCATTCCCTCGGATGTTCACCTCATAATATACATAAAGACAAACTCTGAATCACACCGAAGACAAACTCCCACAAACCATATTGCTCCAAATACATAAACACACACACACACACACACACAACCCTGAAAGAAGAAACCAGGTAAAGGAGACAACGAGTGAAGACCCTAATTAGTCATCAGCAGTCATTTTGCTTGTCCAAAAGTATAAGCAGTGAACAGACAACCGAAGGGGGAGGGGTGAGAGGAAAGCTGGAGGAAACAGAATTCCAGGAAAAGGATAAGATCTTAACCCACTTCTTGCCCTTCACAAATGACATTGAATGCCTTCTCCTCCTGAAACATATTCCAAGGTCTATTGTTGTCTACAACATCTCCCTGCCCTGAAGCACCAGCAGTGACCAGCAAGGTATAGGACAATTAGAGCGAAAGAAGCAAACGATTCTCCTACACACAAAATACTCTTCCCAATTACTTAACTGAAATGAATCCCCATTTAAAATTTTAAACATATTCCTTATTAAAATGCAAATATATTGACTAGTGAATTATTTCACAATCAGAAAAACTATCAGACCTGGGGGACAGTTTTGATACAGTACAAAGTATCAAGAAACTGAAGGATGTTTATAAAAGCAGAGGAGCAGGGCGCCTGGGTGGCTCAGTTAAGCGTCTGCCTTCAGCTCAGGTCATGATCTCAGGGTCCTGGGATCAAGTCCCATGTCGGGCTCCCTGCTCAGCAGGGAGTCTGCTTCTCCCTCTGCCCCTCCCCCCTGCTCATGTTAGCTCGCTCTCCCTCTCCCTCTCTCAAAAATAAATAAAAATATTTTAAAAATTAAAAATTAAATTAAAAAGGGCGCCTGGGTGGCTCAGTTGGTTAAGCCACTGCCTTCTGCTCAGGTCATGATCCTGGAGTCCCAGGATCGAGTCCCGCATCGGGCTCCCTGCTCAGCAGGGAGTCTGCTTCTCCCTCCGACCCTATCCCCTCTCATGTGCTCTCTCTCTCTCTCATTCTCTCTCATTCAAATAAATAAAATCTTTAAAAAAATTAAATTAAAAAAATAAAGCAGAGGAGCAGAGGAGATCTTGAGGGAAGGTCCATGAGTTAGGGGGGGAAGGGGGAGTAGGGGGATGGGCAGGGCATTGGGCACTCTGGAACACCTAGAGGACACTGGCCTTTGCTGGGAAGTTTAGGCACCAAAGGTGTTGGGGGTAGGAGAAAGTAAATGTCTGTTTCTCTGCTAGTTTATCCAGGCTCTGGTGTCGGCAAGCCCATGCGTGATTCCTGGCCCACTGTCATTCATTACTGATGTTTGGCACACTCTGCAAACTTCTAAAGCGTGACCACTCTGTGTAGATGTAGTATATAAAACAGGAGCACGAGAACCAATGCAACTTGTGCTCTTAAGTCTGAAATCCAACCATATCACTGGTAGATATTCAAATCTAGCATTTGCTTTGCCTCTAGTTAGGATTCGTGGCAGTTACTACCACTGGAAGTTGAAAAACACCAGTTCTGGGGTTCAGTATTATATGCTGCCTTTTACTTTGACCAACATGACAGGCATCATCCTCCATCATGTTTCACACAAAAGAATGCAGGAAAACTCAGAGTGGCCAGAAATGTTGCATTCAAGTGAAAAACACTCAATTTAAGATGAGCCAAATGAATAAGAAAAATTATACAATTTAGGCAAGTGGCTACATTTCCTAGGATTATACCTCCCATCCTATGAAAACTGAATACTTAGAAAATACTGCAATTGCCAAGTTTTATACCTCACATATAAACCCCAAATTTCATACACTAAACTTCTTAGCAATTATGAGGCAGTATGGTACCATGGAAACAGGCTAGCGCAGACTTTTTGAAGCTTTTAAGGGTCTGAAACCCTGTGGTGCAGCCTACCAGCTGTGAAACTTCAGCCAGGTGTCACTTCCGTCAGACAACATCCCAGCAAAATTACGGGAATTCTTCGGAATTGGAATAATTTAAGGAGTTTTCATAAAGGAACTGCTTATGAAGACATGATGGGGTAAGGAAATCACAAGGGAAGGACAGTAACCTGGGATTCTAAAGGCATCCCCAGTCCTGAAGGGACAAGAGGCAGGACCACGTACTGGAACAAGGAGGAGAGAACCATGTAAAGATGGCTGCCTCGGGGGGAGGGGTGCCATTGCTCAAGGGACATAGCCAGCCCAAGGTGACCCCCATCTCCCATCTGGGCTCTCCACTGTCTGAGCCCTAGGACAAAAGCGGAGAGCCTTGAGGGGCAGAGCACAGGGTGGAGAAGGGTGGGAGGTGACAGAGGGGGCAAATGGAAATCTCCAGGCTGAGAGGACCCTAATAACATCTGCCTCATTGGGCTGTCATGCAAACAAAGAGAGAAGTGCCTTGCCTTGAGCTGGCACACAGAATGTATTCAGTAATTAGAAAAAGTATATTTTTATTTACCTGGAATCACACTGAAACCGCATCAATTTAGTTCGTATTTCTTAGTAAACTAAACACTAAGGAGGATAAAGATGATCCTTAGCTTTCTCACACAGACTAAGATGAAACAGAACTAAACCAAACTCACTCGACTTAACAGAAAAGTACAAGCAAAGAGAAGACCCTGGCTTGGGGACTTGAATATTTATCTTCGTGAATAACTTTAGAAGACACCCCATGTTGAGGGCCAAGGGCAGGTCGCTTTGGCATGAAGATTACAAAAAAAAAAAAAAGGCAAACTAAACCCAGCAGATCCCGGAAAAGCTCTTTATCTCCCCCCTCGACTGCCTAGAAAGAATTTAGCTAGAGGACACGCTCCAGGAAGAAAGCTATCAGCACAGATGACTACATTATACTATGAACTAGCTGAGGTAGACAGGGAGGAACTAGCAAGGCCCGTCTGATCAAATTCCTCCAGGTCTCCTTGTTTCCCAGCGGCCCAGCAAACATCTGTTTACCAAACATTTGCTCTTTGTTCAACTCCCTGTGAACTGCATTCCTTCCCTTTGAAGTCCCAGACCCGTACCCAATTCTCCGTAGTTCGTAGTTCGGAATGACATACAGACTGCATTTTGCCTGTCTTTGGAATTTCCATGTCTGTGTGGATTTCCCATACATACAAAATTAAATTTGATTTTCTCCTGTTAATCTGTCTCATGTCAATTTGAGTCTTCGTCTGGCTAGAAGGACCTTTGAAAGGGACAGGAAGTTCTTGCTCCCCAATAATATAATATGCAATATTCTTGTATAATACTATGTATTATTATTATTATTATTAAATTCTCATAACAAACCTATATGGTAGGCACTGTTACACCCATTATTCACATGAGGAAACTGAGAAACAGAAAGATTAAGTAATTTGCTGGAGATCACAGAGCAAAGACAGGAATTAAACCATGCAGCCTGGCTCTGGAGTCTCGGCATTTAATTCTCCGAGCATGCTTATCCCCTCTCAGTCTAAAAGCTGGGAGGCACAATAAGAAAGCAAAGGTCATCTCAGAGACATTTCTGGGTGGACTGTGCTCAGTGGTGTATCAGGGAGGTATAGACTCATCTCCAATAAAGAGCCTACAGGAAAGGCTGCACACAAAGGTGGGTGTAAACCAGGAGTCAAGATACACGCAGGCAAGCACAGGTGGATCAGGACAGACCACTAAGCAAAACTACGAGCACCAAGGTAGCATGTGCCCTCCTGCCAAAGACCAGGAGGAAAGGTGGGCATTCAGAACCAGCCTCTGGAGAAAGGTTTCTTCTACCCTTCCCCTGAGGCAGGAGCCAAGGTGGCCTTCCTCTGCGGGGACCAGAGCGTAACCTAGGGGGACAAAGGCCGCCAGCCCGCAGCAATGTCCCCTACTTATCAGACTTGACCTCTGTGATACTCAGCCAGTAAGAGAACAAAGGCAGCCGCGTAACAGCCGCTAGTCCAATGCGTTTCAAAGAGGGATGCTTGGCTTGATGAAGTCCACCTTCACAGAAGACACCTTTCCAGGACTCAAAGAGAAAAACCTGTGAACAGGGCCCAAAGGGCCGGTGCTAGGAGCGAACCAGAGTGGCAGAGGACGCCGTCAGAATTCGCTCAGCAGTGCTTCCAGGTAGGGACTCGGGCCAACCCAGCATCCTCGTCTTGTTTTCTTTCAAGACCCAGGTGGCATCGTGATTTTCACGCTAAACAAACATTAGGAAAGCTAAGCTTTTCCTTGGCTTACATGTGGCATTCTAGGTGCAATGGCTCTGCCCCAGGAGCCCACATTAAACAGAAAATTGGGGAGAGAAGAGGACTAAGAGAAATACTCAGCAATTTAAATTGCCTTAGGTACCTATTTTTTTTTTTAAAGGCATTTTCCAGAACGAGGAAAGAGGCATATGAGAATAAAGACTAAACGGAAAGCAAAAACTTGAGAGGCAGTGAGGGCTTAGAAGTGATTAAAAAAAAATCTAAAAACATAGTCATAGCTACGAGGAAGGAAAATGGAAGTCAGCGTGCTGACTCGTATACAATGACTAACACAAGGTGAGTCCATAAACATTCTGACCCTTGTTGTAGACGTAAAGCGTTCCACTTCCAGGACTTGGGCTTTTATTGGACAGCCAGAGAGATACGTCTGTATGTTAGGCTCCTTAAATCCTTGAGTCTTATAAATAGCCGAGAATGGAATACACGCTAAAAAACAAACAAGTAGATAACGTTACTGTAGGAATACAATGACATTGCAAGAATACACGATATTAGCCTAACTTGCCTCTTTTATGGGCATGTGCCCAAGAATCATAACCTGCTACAACAAGCACACAGCTAATGAAGCGGTCTCAGCCCCGGGTAAGGACACCCACAGGAAGATCAATCATTTGCTGGTTATTTCAAATCTGCGCTCTGCCAAGCAACCCCGATCAACTCTCTCCTTGCTCAGATCATCAGTCTTTACCTTCCTGTGTCTTGGGATCGCTGGGAGACACATCATAATCCACCTCCTCTCCCTCAAAGTGCAGCTCCCGCGTGTCCAGATTTTCTATCAAATTACTCATGTCAGCAGCGATTTTCTGCAGTGCAGAGGTATTTACTCTCGGCTCATTTTTCAGGGACATGTTGGCTTCCGACGGGGTAAGAGCAAAGGGGCTGGGGAAAAAAAGGGGGGTTACAAGGACTTCATATTTTGAATGAATCCAGGCTTATTCTACAATATGATTCCGGGCTTAGAGACAGCATATGGAAACAAGTTAGCTAGCTGTGTGTGAGCCCCAGTTATCTCAAACAACCTTTTCATTTATTTTCCTGTTTAACATTTAAAGGATTCCTAGCTTGTAAATTAAATTGGAGTGAGATCCTTAATCACCAGCAAGTAAGAAAGAGAAACACTGTATTGAATAAATGCCAACATATCTTTCATCCAATTTCATTAACTTGGATAAATGAGGAGAGACTCCAGGGAGGCTGGTTTGGCAATGGTGATTCAGAGAAAAGGAATGGATTCTTAATTCTAACAAATACATGGAAAAACTGTCATGTAAAATTAAGCAACTTTTAAATATTTTCTAAAGAAAATTGAGGGCATTTTACAGTAATTTCAATAAGCTGATTAAAGTATTTTCACGACAGCATAACCTTTCCACACTTCCTCTGTAGGTGATAACCCAAGCAAAGTGTATATACCATCTTTCTGAAATAGGAGGTTTAGGCCACGACTATACAGGAGTTATAATAATGTACGTGTCTTGAAAGGTAATTGATGAGCATGCCTTTTCTGAAAGGTACTGGAGGTGCTCAAATTGTACTTCTCTCCTTTTTTAAGAAAACCGGTTCTATCTCATTTTGACATTTAATAACACAAGTCGTTGCACACCAGTACCTAGGGAAGAAGAGTTCATAGAGATTTTATTTTTCCTTTAAAATACGGAGATTTACGCCTTGAGCGCCGTCATCAGAGTTGGATGAAAAATTCCTCTTGCTGGAAATAATCGTTCTGTTACCACCAGGCCCTAAAATGGCAGGATTTTCATATGAGCAACTCCACCATACACGTTCGTTTATTACTGCACATCACAAACATTTACAGAGCGTCTGCCACTCACTCATTGTGAGATGTCATGAGTAAATACGTAAAGATGAATAAGGCTGGTCCCTGTGATTAAGGAGCTCCTGACCCGGGTACATGACCCCAAGTTCATTCCTGGCCTCCTCCAAGGTCTTCAGCCTTCCTGAGAACGGCATGTGCTGAGTGGAAGACCCTCAGCCAGGCTCTCTCCTACCGGAATGATCAAGACTCTGGGGGAGGGGGGCCAGACAGGGGGGAGGGCTCTGTGGGCGACGCTAAGAGTCTTGACCAAACTTGGACGGCCCTTATGGTAATTCATCAAGTCTCTGAAACCTGTACTGCCATATCTGCTAGAAAGAGATCTTGTCTGGAAATTCAAAAGACTGGGGTAGAGGAATGTGGTTCTGGTCTGCCCAGATATACATAATTAATATAACAAAGTTCTCTGTGAACTCCATAATTGATCGTGTTTCTTTCTCCATGTTGGCTGTAAGGAAGCTTGGAGCCACATCGGTGGCCTACTATTAGCAAAACAGAGGTCTATCCTTGCCTACGTTGCTTCCTTTCACCTTTCTCTCCCACTTCTAATTTATATTACAGTAACAGTTAATGTATACTGACTGCTTCGTACGCACTTGGCTTGGTGATGGTTCCTTGTATACATTAGCATGTTTATCATCGATAATAAATCTATGAAGGTTTGTTATTTCTGCTTAAGAGGACAAGAGCTTATCATCCCCTCTTTACAGATAAAAATACTGAGGCATAGAGAGAGAAGGTAATTTGATGAATACCTTGGTCAATGTGTCCAAGGTCACGGAGCTTAGACGTAGTGAAAAAGGGATTTAAAACCAGGTCTCTCTGACCCAAGACCTGATGTTCTCAACCACATGCTTTATCTTCCTGTATATTTTTGATAGATATGTAAGTGTCCCTGCAATAGATGGAAGTTTTAGTAAACAAAGTACCCTTGGACAAGACTCAAATGGGAAAGAACAGGAAATGACTTCCTCTTGAAGCTCAGCACCTCAGGATGGAGCCATTTACACTCTGAGGGTCTTGGTTACTCCTCTACAACCTAAGGAGGTTGAGCATTTCATCTCTAGGGTCCCTTTAACACTAGAACCCTAACTGTAGTTAAAAAATGCTATATATTGTTCAGTTTCCCCATATAAGTAATTTCTTTAACCCAAGAAATTAACCCAAGTATTTTTCGTATGAATACGAGAAGCAGGTGGCAGATGTTTTCCAACCTGGATAATTTAATGAAGGTCTGTTCAACTTCCATTGAGGAGCTTGTGGCCTCTGGTCACAATTAAAACATTTATTTCCTTCCCTCTCAACTCAACAAACACTTATTAGATGCCACCCATGAGTCAGATTTTGCTTTATTTAAAATACAAGGTAATGAAAAACTTAGAGGAAATGAGACAAGGAAAAACAAGTAAGAAATTACATCATATCATTGCTACTCATGAATCTGTAAAGCCCTTGGGTATTTTCTATTGATTGAACTGTCTTGTGGTTAACTCTGCCAACTTCCTTAGCCTAGCAAAGGAAAACAAGAGTTACTCCAATGACTTTCCTTTTGGACAGAATGTCAGTGTTAAAATGCATGTTAAAGTTAAGATATACAGAGATCAGAATAACTATATACTGCAAGAAAACTGGAATAAATAGAACAGAGTCACTGGATCAAGCTAAAATAAAAATCCTTTTTCAGATAGAAAGAAAAGAAGCATATAAACTTGTGAAAAATTTAAGAGAAATAGGAATCCTCATCATTTATACTCAAGTGTTTATTTTGTGCTAATAAATAAACACAATTTTAGCACACTTATGTTATTTCATACTCACAATGATACCACCTGCTATTTATGATTATTCTGAAAGACTTAGTTAAGTAACTTGCCTGAGGTCGCTCAATTTGTGTCAGTGTTGAGTTTACTTAGAGAGCAGATTTGTTTGGCTCTGAAATGTCATGGACTTGCTTAAAGAGGTTCATAATTATTGATTTTATTTAATGGTTGAATGTCTGTAAGTTAATCTTTTCTATAAAGCTTATGTTTCATAACAGCAAAAGACATTATCTACTTCAATCCCTACACCTTAAAAAGGATCCTACCAGCCCTATAGTCATTATAACTGTAGAAACAACATATCCCGACAGCCTCCTACATTTCTTTTTAGCCTTTTATTTTTGTGATTCATAATATTTTATAAGATTGCATGCAGTTTCAGTGGACCCTAAGGGTTTGCGGATTTTTTCAAGCTTTTGTGAAGACTCTACCATTTAATAATGGAAAATGAACCAAACTGTCCACATTACTGCCTTCAACTCATGTCCATGGTTGCTTTGTGTTGACGTTTTATCCATCAATTGTATTGCTGGTTTCATTCTTGAATATCAGACTTGTAAGGCCATCTATACTCGTATGTTGTCAAATCTTAATTTATTAACCTATGTTTTCTTTTATCTAAATTAATCTATACTGGTGGGTGAACAGCTGCTCAGTTATAGCCTATCTTAGCCAGCAATGGGATAAGGCCTTCAGGGTTTACACTTGAGATAATGTAATTGATTTTGTTATCTCCTTATAAAATTACACTGCAAGATCATTATCTCTCTTGGTACCAAGTAGAGATGGTGCCAATGGATGATAACAGCAGCTGTGTTTTATTTCGGTTTGCATCTCTATCTGGGAAGTAAATGGGGTCAATTTTTTTTTCTTCCTGGTATTGAATACTAGAATTATAATTTTTTGCAGGGAACATTTTTAAATCACCTCCTGTTATTCAGTGGTGAAATCAGAGAACTCTAGAGTTTTCTTCTAATCTTAATGTTCAACATGACTGGGAAGTAGAACATCAAAGGAAGCAGACATTTTCCTTTCAGATAGTACATAAACAATGTCTACGCCAAAATATAATAATATTACAACTATTAATGTTAAAATAAATATTAATATTAATTAATATTTGCTGAGTATATACCATATGCCAGGCATTATTCAAAAAGATTAATTGCATGATCTCATTGAATCTCACAACATTAGGAGCTGGGCCCTATTGTTATTCCCCCCCCCCTTTTTTTATTCAGAAAAAGAGAGAGCACGGGGTAGGGAGCAGAGGGAAAGGGAGAGAGTCTTAAGCAAACTCCACGCTCAGTGCAGAGCCCGACCCAGGGCTTGATCTCATGACCCTGAGATCACGACCTAAGCCAAAATCAAGAGTCGGATATTTAGCTACCCGAGCCACCCAGGAACCCCTGTTACCCCCATTTTTAAGATGAGAAGCTTAGAGAGGATGGGCAACTCTCCCAGAGCCTGTGGCTAGGAAGCAATTAGAGCTGGACTCAACCCTGGTTGATCTGACTCCAAAGTCCAGCTATTTAACCAACCAAGAAGTGGAACTGGGGGTGGCAGGAGGGAGAGACACTGAAGACTTTTACTCTTTACTTAACATACTCATAGGATAAAACAATTCAAAAAGGAACAACAATAACAAAAAAAACTCAGCATTCATTCCGTGAAGATAACTGACTTCTTGCTTCCCTTTCTAACATAACACGCAAAGTTCTCCCCTATTTTTTAATACATTATTTGTGCTTGCCAAGAAAAATAGATGCAATGTATTTCCAAACCAAAAATCACAGCATAATGTTTAGACGTGAAATGAATTATAATTAGATCATTTAAAACCAAACTGTGTCATGGGGATTTCTTGTTTTCCCATTTTTCATTATGATGAAATTAATTGGTAGACCCATACTATATAACCTCCCAGAACACATTATATAGCAATGATTTGTACAGAACTGACTTGATGTTCCCTGCAATGCAAACATCATAAATGTGGACTCAAGTACTAAACTCAATCTCTAGTGACATAGTAAACCTTGAATAAATATTTTTTGAGTTGAGCTGACTTTGAATAAAGTAAATGATATTATCATAGTTTACATTCCAGATGATATATTTTGAGAAAATAACACATCAAAAAAAAGGAAAAAAGACTCTTGGTGTTACTTGGATCTTTGATTTTTTTTTTTAGAAAAAGAACATGAATTCCACAAATATCAATGGAGGGCTTATTATGCACCTTGTACATACAATTAAATGTCAGTGGTGGAGGGGACAGGCCGGATGACCAAGGTTGTTCTACTGTTACTATCAGTGTAACCCGGGCAATCTCCAGGGTTTCAGCAGCCCCTCTGTAAACTGGAAAAAGTGCCACCTACACTTCCTACCTTAGGAAGCTGTGAGGAGCCATTGTTATGATGCATACACAGCCACAGGCAAAAGTAATCTAGGTTGCTAATACTACCTTTAAATTCTATTAACAGTAGGGACACCTGGGTGGCTCAGTCAGTTAAGCGTCTGCCTTCAGCTCAGGTCATGATCCCAGGGACCTGGGATCGAGCCCCATGTCGGGCTCTCCTTCTCCCTCTGCTGCTCCCCCTGCTCATGTTCACCCTCCCTCCCTCTCTCTCTCTCTCTCTCTCTCTCTCTGACAAATAGATAAATAAACCTAAAAAAATAAAATAAAATACAAATAAATTCTATTAGCTGGCAGCCCCTGAAAAATAACCTTAGGAAACTTTCTTTCACTTCAGTATTTTTCAGGGCTGACAGGCTAGGAAATATCCTGCCTTTTATCTCTTACTTCGATCCCAAATTAATAGACCATCTAGCAGCTGTCTTTCTGGCTGGGCTTCACTAAGAATGGGACTCTCCCATTCAGCCAGTCCTGAAATTTTCTGGACTTGACTCCTCCATTTGCTAGAAACCTTCCCCGGCAAACACAATCACGAGGCATCGAGCAGTCAAGCCCAGTTAGGGCACTTCCTGTTCCTTGCACATCTCCCTGGCATTGTCCGCCTCTCCCTGTCTGGTAAGCCATCACTTCTGTTGTACTGTGTCACTTGTGTCCATTGTAGTGGCT